TCTTGCATTGAGGCCCACGAGAAGGACATGGAGCTGTCTTTTGCTGTGCAGCGCAGCAAGGACATGGTGTGTGGGATCTGCATGGAGGTGGTCTATGAGAAAGCCAACCCCAGCGAGCGCCGCTTTGGGATCCTCTCCAACTGCAACCACACCTACTGTCTCAAGTGTATTCGCAAGTGGAGGAGTGCTAAGCAATTTGAGAGCAAGATCATAAAGTCCTGCCCAGAATGCCGGATCACATCTAACTTTGTCATTCCAAGTGAGTACTGGGTGGAAGAGAAAGAAGAGAAGCAGAAACTCATTCAGAAATACAAGGAGGCAATGAGCAACAAGGCGTGCAGGTATTTTGATGAAGGACGTGGGAGCTGTCCATTTGGAGGGAACTGTTTTTACAAGCATGCGTACCCTGATGGCCGTAGAGAGGAGCCACAGAGACAGAAAGTGGGAACATCAAGCAGATACCGGGCCCAACGAAGGAACCACTTCTGGGAACTCATTGAGGAAAGAGAGAACAGCAACCCCTTTGACAACGATGAAGAGGAGGTTGTCACCTTTGAGCTGGGCGAGATGTTGCTTATGCTTTTGGCTGCAGGTGGGGACGACGAGCTGACAGACTCTGAGGACGAGTGGGACTTGTTTCACGATGAGCTGGAAGATTTTTATGACTTGGACCTATAGCAGCTTTGAGTGGCACGGGAACTGGTCTGCGAGCCTCAGACAGTAGCTGTCCCCTGTGCCGCGTGGCAGTGCGTGTTGCTCTCCTAGGCAGGCCTCTCCACTCCAGGTGCTGTCGTGATCACTTACCCAGGGCCTGCTGCTCCCCTCCCCTTTCCCCAAGGAGTGTCTGTTTTCTCTGTTTCAAAAAGTTACAAAAATAAATCTTAAAGTTAGTTTTTTTGTAACATGAATTTAACTGTCAGACAGTTAGGGTAGGTTTGTTGCGTCATCTGTTTTCAGCCAGGTTGTATCTATGGACTTTCTGCACTCATTTCCAGGACCCCAGGTTCAGGAGCAAAAGCACCAGCCGTGCTTTGGGGTCCAAGAGTAGGGGTGACGGGTGAAGGCACCTAAGCTGGCTGGCAAGTAGTCTTCTGCAGACGTAGGAGGTGGGTCCTTGAGGTTTCTGGTAAAATGTGCACATCTGTGTTTTTGTATCAGTTCCCTCCCCTATAATCCCCTCCACCACGTTCGCTTGTCCTGTGGTTTTGGTCTCTTGTTTAATTGCACATAAGGAGTACTACTGGGTAAAGAGAACCAGGTGTGAATGTATTGACTTTAGCATGCTAGGAACATTTGAAAGAACACACATGAAAGATAAGTGGCACACCATCAGTGCAGGATTGGCAGTTGACTCCCAAGGGCTTGGTGTGAGCATGAGCTTCCTGTCCCTGCATAGATACAGTATTTTTAGCCTTAGTGGACAAACTTGGTTTAGTGGTTTCAGCCTCATGTGGCAGGTAGATCTTAAAGGGCAAAGCAGTGTGTTGGAGATAGTTGCTATAGCAGCGCTAGCTCTGTCTATATGCTAGAGGAATGGGGTCAGCCATAGTGGATAAATGACTGGTTATCCCATGTATCAACACAGACTGGGTCTTGGATGCACAGTTTTATTTAATGTTTCATGGTGTGGCCCTTCCAGTCCAGGCACTTTTGGAAAAACTTTTGTCCTCTGTTTGAGGGGTTCTGTTGTCAGGTTTTTGTGTTTGTTTTTGTGGGTATTGCCTCTTTCCACCCCTGAGCTTTGCAGGTAGATGGAAGTCATTCAAAACTATGTTCTAAGGTGTTTATTGTAGTGGAGTGATTGGTTTGCGGTAATAAGTCATACTTTTTTTTTCCACTAAAGGGGAGGGCGTGGTAATCCACAAGACAAGCTGAAGTTAAGTTGTTAGAAGAATTCCTTGATGGGAAAGTTTACCTTTGCATTTTGTTGCTTTGTTTCCTGAAAATAACTTGGGAGATGCTCCTGATTTGTCCATCTACTGCTTTGGTTCCTTGGATCCCACTCATTCTTTCACTTTAAGAAAAAACAAGTAATTGTTGCAGAGGTCTCTGTATTTTGCAGCTGCCCTTTTGTAAGAAGCACTTTTCCCAAATAAAACAATTAAAAAAAAATTTGACTGTTTTGTGTAATGAGCTATTTCAAAACATGCAGGTATCAGAAAATAATATGTTCCTTTCATTGACTCTCTCATCTGTTCCTCAGCCACATTTCTGTGGGTATAGATTCACTGAGAAAGTGACACCTTCTTAAGTCATCTAGCCTGCTGAGAAATGTTTGGGAGACACAGGGGAAGCTTACAGGCTGGCACCATCCAGTTATTCTCCTGTGGTAGAATCTGCAGGACTGACTGACTGACTCTAGGCTGCCTTGGTCAGCAAAAGGAACTGGTACCCTGTGCTTGTAGTGGAGCCTGCTTCTTTCCCCAAGTAAGTCACTTACAAGTCACCACATGATTGGTTTTTGTTTTTGTTTTTGTTTTGTACCAGGGATTGAACTCTGGAGCACTTGGCCACATCCCCAACCCTATTTTGAGTTTTTATTTAGAGACGGGGATCTCACTGAGTTGCTTAGTGCCTTGCCATTGCTGAGGCTGGCTTTGAACTCATGATCCTCCCGCCTCAGCCTCCCAAGCTACTGGGATTACAGGCGTGCACCCCTGCTCTCAGCTCATAGTTGACATTTTGAAAGAATATTTTTCTTCATAATTACATTATGAGTTTATTTTTTATTTTTTTTT